TGTTGCACGGAGGAGTATGTGGATGTACGGACAGACCTGCACCTCGATCCAGAAGATCTGATTGCCATCAACGTGTCGAACCAGCCGTGCCCGAAGTTCGGTATCCATGGTTCCTTCGACTACTTGAAGCAGCTCTATGTCGCAGCCTCAAAGAGGGTTCCGCCGCTGAAGCCAGCGATGTTTGTGCGACTTAGGACGAGGGTGACTTGGCCTTCATGACCAACATGGGCTCGCTTGTGGAGCCCCTCAACAAGGATCAGTACCGCAACAACCTGAAGGAGAAGTGCGTGGGTCTCTTCTCGCACTCGGATCAGCCGCTGCTCTGAATTCGGATGGTGCGGCACAGAGCGGTGTCTTGTTCCATGCTGACCTGACCTGCGCCGTGAGGCAGACCGCGGCGCAGACCTTGGCATGCCAGGTGGCGGGCAACAGTCCCAGAGGCGGGCCAGTCTTTACATTCTTGTGAGCGCACTCGCGGCGGGGATCGGTGTCCAGGTGCTGGCGGCCGCATCACCGATGCGTTGGTAGCTGCGGCGGATCCGTATGTTGCCACCTCCTTCTCCCTGGCTGGCAGTGCGATCTTTGCGCAAGGCATGGTGACGAACAGGCTGCAGATGAAAGCGACACGCTGTGACATGGTGCTGTGACAAACAAATCTTGCGAGGAATGCTGTGATGTTGCAAGTGCTGCCCAGCTGTCGCAACACAGGCAGATCGTCGATGAGCAAGGCAATGATCGGTTTCACGAGTTCGAGCTGTGGCGTGAAGCCATCTCTAACCTCACCCAGCAGCAGCACGCGAATGTCTTCAACGAGCAGTACGCCCAGGTCTTCCTGGATTCGATCAAGTCCACGGAGGAACTTGGTCGGGCCATCGAGGACACCGGTAATACACATGAGTCACTGAATGTACTTGATGAGGCGGCATATAGCAGCAATATAGCAGTGACTCCCCGCGCGTGTCCTCTGAGGATGTCGAGCTGGTCACGGACTACTCCACGTCCTCCAGCCTGGAGAACCAGCTCTCGCAGGTGGCCAAGCTCATTCGTGTCCACGAGGTGCGGAAGGCAGAGCGGGACTTCTTCTTCGTCCGGCCCCGCGGCTGACCGCAGTCGAGTCATCAACCTGAAATGCGGTATCTGAGCGACACACCAAAGCTGTGACGAGGATCGGCGGCTGGGACATGCACTCGAACCTGCTGTCTGGCCTGACCTCGAGGCTCTGGGACATGACAGGGTTTATTTGTCGAATTGCGCCTGTGTGTAGAACAACTTGCCTTGCTCCGTGCCTGCGCAGGTTCGGCGAGATCAACCGGGCTCTGCGCGGCTTCGTTGCAGAGATGAAGGCGCAAAACATGTGGGACAACGTGGTGCTTGCCAGCTCCTCGGAGTTTGCACGCACGCTGGACTCCAACGGGGGCGGCAGCGACCACGCTTGGGCCGGCCAGCACTTTATTTTGGGCGGGAAAGTGAAGGGTGGGCAGATGCTGAACCAGTTCCCTTCCAGCTTAAAGGAAGGGGCCTACAACGACCTCGGCCGTGGTCGCCTGATCCCAGCCTATCCATGGGAGACAATGCTGAAGCCCATTGCCGAGTGGATGGGCCTTGACACGAGCTCCCAGGAGACGTTGGATGCAGTGTTCCCGAACATCGGGCGCTTTAACTCATCCATCGTGCCAGGTGAAGATTACATTTTTCAGCCGTGAGCTAAGCTTTGAACCTGGCGAGGGTGCCAAACCCAGCCGTCACTATCGTAGTTTTGGTAATTAGCTCCCTTGACTTTGATGCCGCAGTGGCACCTAGAAATAGGAGCAGGCTCCAAAGAGGGGCTTGTCCTGCACATGGTCCGCAGGGCTACTGTGCTCTGTGCTGCTGCGGTCACCACGGGACATGTGCAGCCCTACAACATTCAGAGCCGGGCCATAGCTAAATTTCTCCGAGCTAAGCTGACAATAATTTCTGTTGAAGCGCACGACTGTTTTTGGGTCTTCGGCGCTCCTGCATCTGCATGTATGGCTGTACCCTGCATAGGCTGTCGGTTGGAATGGAGCATGCCCTCTGCTGCAGAGGGCTTGCATGTAGCTGCATTGCAGCCGGCAGAACGTTGTCCAACTGCATGTGAAATTCGCAATGTAGCGAATGACCCAAGCGGTTTGCATTTGCGTCCGTCCGACTTCTGGCCTAGATTTCCAGTCCGCCTGCCCTGCTGCTTGGAGCACAAGGCCCGCTGCAGGGGGTTGGCAGAGTGGCTGACTGGTAAGGACAGCAGTGCCTTCCTGGTCAGATCCAGCCAGGAGCAGGGACAGTGCCCCTATAGTGACTATATAGTGTCGCGAAAAGAGGACCAGCAGCACTTGAAGGCTTGACGGTGTGCTCCACCGTTTTCTCCTTTCCCCAGCTCCCGAAGCCCTAAACATCCCCAGCTGAGCTCCTCCCACTCCAATAAGGTGCCTTGGGAGCGGACTTCGGCGATGGGCCACCTCCGGAGGACGGTCATTGCGCGAGTTCTCACGCCCCAGACCATGAACATTAATGTTACCTAACCGGTGGAGCTTCGAGAAGTGCTGCCCCGGCACGATTGGTAAAGCCGGTGACAGGAGTCCGCAACGGTCAACTACCTACCGTTCTTTGCACATGATCACTCATCAGCCCAGCAGGCTAAGAGCGCAGACTTTGGTCCAAAGGCGTGCGGTCGCCTCAAGTCACGGTTTGCTGATTAGTTGATCTGGCTAGTATCTCACTGCAAGTTGCCTAACATGAGCGGCCCACATCGAGACGAGATAGGTGCATTGGTTTTGCTGTGTGCCATGGTGTCGGGTGAAGAGACCATTGAGAAGCGGAGCGCAAAGCAGCCACTGCGTCTCTTCTGCGGATGGCCTCTCGGACTGTGTGAGTAGTGGATGTAATCAAGCTTCACATCAAGCATCACATGGGCCGACACGTGATTATCCACCGACGTGTTACCATCGCACAACGCGCGAAATCCGATGCACCCCGGAAAGACCCTACTATGCTAGTCTACAGTAACGGACGTCCACAATCCTCTGCTGAACAGCGAGCGTGTCGCAGGTTCAGTTTAAGGGTGGAGGCAGATGGGCCGGGTTGAGAGTGCTATGCGGTTTCTTGGATCCGAGATCCGCTGTCCCTCGTCAGGTTCTGTCCTTTCGCACAACGAGCATGGATTGCTTTGGAGGAAAAGGGAGCGGTCTATGAGTATGTGGCCATTGAGCCGTATCAGGAGGATGCAAGCAAGCCAGGGGGGTCTTGCGGCCATGCTTGACTGCACGAGAAGCTGATGTAGCACAGCATGGCACATGCCTGTCAGAGCATGCCAGGTACTCCAAAAATCCTCTACCACTGGAGGAGAAGAGGAGGCGCTATCCGGAGTTCATGGCCTCGAGCCCGAAAGGCCTGCTTCCCGCAATCGAGAGCACTCAAGCAGACGGTTCTGTTCATCGAATCTACGAGTCCATGGTCCCTCGCCATTTTGCTTAGCTCTTTTGAGCACTTACACTGATTTGCCTTGTCATTGGATTGGTCCGAGGTTTGTGTTGAGTATGTTGAAGAAGCCCTCGATGGACCTTCCTTGATGCCTCTCCGATCACGTCCCGAAGCTCGGGCCAAAGTGCGCATCTGGTGTGCCTACATCGGCGAGCATCCCGGCAATGAAGTCAACGTGCCAACATGTTCTTCCTTATTCATGTCTCCTCCGCTCACTTTCTTAGGTGTGTTCTTAGCTGGACTTGATTTAAGTGCTTGGGCTACGGCAGTTCGTGATGGGCTTGTTCTCACAAGCAGAGTGGGTGCATGCATGCATAAGGAAGATCATTCCCCATTTCTACCGGCTACTCATGCGTGAGACTGCCGACGAACGGGAAGCCGAAAAGAAGAGCTTGCTGGATGGCCTTCTGTGCCTAGCCCAAGCAATGGATCCTGTTTCAGCAGATGGTGGCGCCTTCTTTCTTGGTGATGAGTTCACGATGGTCGACATTGCCCTGTGCCCCTGGTGGACCAGATTCCGCAGCATTGCAGGCACGTACCGAGGATTCGAGGTGCCGCGGGGTGCCACCTGGGACCGCCTTCATGCTTGGGGCGATGCCTGCGAAAATCGACCGTCAGTGGCCAGAACTATCGTGGATCAGAGCCGTCTCATTGCCAACTACACCGGCTATGCCGACTCTTCTGCGACGTCCACCGTCGCACAGACTCTGGCGGCAAAGACCACCTAAAGAGGTTTCTGATCAGAAGATTCTGCGCGCCTGTCTGTGAAAACACTCGCGGGGCGCTGAAGCTGTATGCAAAATAGTTCTCAATGCCATGGATTTCCACGACACTCATGTTCTGTTGACGCAGCCCAAGATCGTCTGCAGGCAAATGTTCGTGGCGGGATATCTGTTCAGTGGTACAGGGTCGGAATTCCGGTCGATGTTTCAATCAGTCGTGAAACCACTCAGACGGGGTAATGACGGGGTGCCTAGCAGACAATTCCTACAGGGATTCCTCAATCAAGCAGGATACCGTATTCTCGCGAGTGCGAAGATAAAGTACCCAATATCGTGTAGTGCAACAACGGGGTTCTTAGACGTGTCCGAAGTTCTCAATCATGTTCCTGCCGCGGAGCCGCACACATTTTTGGCATGCCACTGGTCTTTCCGTTTAATTCGCGAAACTGTCCGGCTTCCCAAGTCGTATTCAGGCCATGCTCAACGTCAGTAGTTTGGTGGGCAGTTTGGCCGCCGGCCTCACCTGGACATCAACTCAACCAGATGGGTGTCGAGCAATTAATTCAGTGTCAGTAGCCAGTGTTAATCCCTCGCGGTGGCAGAACACCAGTCAAGTCATCTCAATCGGATGGTTTCACTACCACTCCCTAGCAGGAAGACACTGTGCCCTACTTGCAGCCGCAAGCCCACTAGAAGTTCGATTTCCGCACTGGAAGTTTCGTCGGCCATAGACTCGGCCTTGAATTCAAATTGAAACCTTACCTCGTCTAGCCGAGAGCGATGTCGCTGCCACCCGCGTCGCCTTCGGACTCACAGCCCGTGCGGTCGACGTCTAAGGCGTCGAAGTTATCAAAGCAGCTGAAGACTCAGCTGGAGCCTGAGCTCCTCCGCGCAGTGCCGCTGCACCGAGCCCTGGCGGGCTGGGGCAGGCACTGGGAGACACCGGACAGTGGTATGTTTAATGTGGATCCAAAGAACTACAAGCTTAGCCAGCCAAGCAAATCCGTGGACGTGTTCCTCAGCCATGACTGGGCCTCGAATGGAAAGCAAAAGTTCTTGTCGCTGCTCATCGTGTACAACTCACGTGCTGCTTTTTTGGCATGCCTTGCGGTCAGCATCCTTGTGGGCATGCTGCGTGGCTACAGGGTGCTGCCAGATGAGGGCTGGACTGTGGTGATTGGTCATGGCAGCTATCTGTTGGTGTTTCTCTTCTGGCAGCGCTTGCGGACGCTTGTTTGCAGACCTTTAACTGTATTCCTGGACAAGCTCTGTGTGGCTCAGCATGATGAAGAGTTGAAGCAGAAAGGCATCGAAGGCATCGCCGCCTTTCTTCTGAGCTCCCAGCAGCTCATGGTTTTGTTGACACCACGGTACTTCACTCGTCTTTGGTGTTTGTTAGAAATGGCCACATTCATGAAAGATTCGGAGCGGCAGAGGAGCATCCATGTCATGCCCTTGAAGACAGCAGTTCTATTTCTTCTGGCTTCCGGATGTTGGTTTTTTTTGGCCATCTGCTGGAACGTGTCTTCAGCAGTTATCAGACCCAGTCTCGTAGGATCTGCAAAATCTGCCGAAATGTGGAGCCAGGTGCCGATTTTGGCCGGGCTTATGCTCCTCCTTTCGGGTGCTTTGCTACCCTTTGTGTTCTACTTGGGCATGGGTCTCGTTGCGGATTTAGAACAAATTCCTCGTCAACTGGCAAACTTCCGATTGGACGACGCGAAGTGCTTCTGTTGCTCGAATAACCATCGGCACCCGCACAACGGATCTCGGCTGCAATGCGATCGGAAGCTGGTATACAACACCTTGAAGCAGTGGTACGACGATGTGGAAAGCAAGGCTGATCATTTGGAAACGTTCAGCAGGCTGGTTCGTGAGGAGTTAGCCCCGAGCATCGCACTGCTCGTTGGTGGCGTGACATTGCCCCTTTCCTATACCGTTTTCACTGTCGGCGCGAGCAATCTGCCTTACCTCGCAGATCATTTCGCACTGTGGATTGCCAATGTGCGCTCGGGCAGCTCCGGCTATGCTCTTTTCGCCTTCACTTTGCGGCAAGTCGCTGACTGGGGGACGGTTCCGTTGGCCAGCATGTTGGCCGTGTGGATCTCCAATCCTTTGTTGAAGGCAGGCCTCCGGCTGCGAAGCCGTTGGTGTGCCACCATCGTGACGCAATCTATTGTCGTTTTTGTAGTGGTCATGGTATGGGCTCCTACGCAACTCGTCCTAGGCTTGACAGAACAGGGTGACTTGCGTCCTGTGGCACTGTTCCTCTTCTGGCTAGCAGTGCTCTTGGCGCTCCATTCCCCATTGGGCACAAGGGGTTTGGCCTCGGCTTTGGGCGAGAAGCCCGGGACGATAGCAGCCAAGGGCAAGGAGGACTCTGCTATGGATGACATCGTGCAGGAAAAGACAGTGGCAGCGGGCATGGGTCGAGAAGTGGCCGTGCAAGAAAGCCTGGCAGTCGAAGCATGCCCCTCTTCGGAAAGCGCTTTCTACATTTGATCCAGCATCTCGCCTGTCATGGCTGCACATGGGCGTAGCAACTGTGAGGAGATTGCAGTGAGTAGCAGTGAGTAGCGCCTGAGGCGTGTTCTGCAACATCCTCTGACTATGTTTTGTACTGCAAGACCGCACGTGCGTTTGCTAAGTTCTGTGTTCGTCTTCTGGTTGCAGTGTTGGGTTCAGAGCTGTTGCAGTTTCGGCAGCCTTGCAATGTCTGCAAAACCAATATCCCCCCTGAGCTTGCGACACCATGCATTTTACCCATTGCTGTCCGACGTGCAATGTCGCCGTTCCAATCTCATCTACTTGCTCACTGTCGTTCTCCGACAGGACTAGAGCGACTGCTGGATAGTTTAGTGTTTTTTGCTTTGGGCTTTCCATAGCTTCCCCGTGGCTCTAATGGGTCCTTTATTGAAGGTGAAGCCGAGGGAGTCCCTGGAACAGATGTGCATGCGAGCTGGGAGGGTCGTGGCAGGCACTTTTAAATCAGCTTGTTCCGTGCCGGCTCCGACAACCTTCGCCATGCTGCACCCCCGTGCACTATTTCGGAGATGCAAGAAGAACCGACTCTTCTATATCATCTCTCGTCATGCAGATCTGGGCGATATTATATGTTGAAATCAAAAGTTATTGATTATGCGTATCTGTATATGATAAGGCTAGGGGCATATATATATATATATATATTGATTCCAAAATATGTTGATTATTTTTTGAATATTATTACACCAGCGAAGACCCCAAACAGCAATAAATCAATCAAGATGTTGCGTGAATTTCGAACAAGACAGCAAACTCGAAACGACAACACTTTGTACAGGACGGAGACAACAGTTTAGGATTTAAGGTTAAGGTTCAGGGTTAGGG